TGACTTCTGATATGTCGAAAAAGGGAAAAGAAGAGAAAAAGGGAAAAATAATGACTTCTGATATGTCGAAAAAGAGGGAAAAAAAGAAAAAGAAAAAGAAAATAAAAATTGAAATAAGAAAATAAAGAAAACAATAACGAGTTGGGTGGGAAACAATCTCTTATAAACAGAAATTAAAATGAATAATACATAAAAAAAAAAGGAAACAGAGTAAATATGGAGAAGAAGAAAGGAGCGGAAACTATCTAAAGGAAATTTTATAAAAAAAGATTTTTTTTTGATAAGGTAGAAACTTAATATGTAAGCATGAAAATAAATAAAAATAGCAGGATGAGAAAAAGGAAAAAAGTTGTCGAGACTTTGTGGGGAAATCATATATGAAACTATTTTGAAAAAATTGGTGAAAGATGTGATTTTTTTTAACCCAGTGGCAAACCATCCTAGGATGGGGTAAGGGCCGGGGAACACCTTACCTTTTATTTATAAGAGGAGGGAAGAAGGAAAATACAATGTAGGGGGACTAGGCCAGAACCCACCCGTGAAGAACAACTAGATAACATAAGGAAAAGCAATAGCATCAAATTTAAGAATATTGCTGAATCTATTGGATCTGACATCAATCCCCATACTAATATCTTTGGCTGCGCAGTTGACCTTTTCGTGGACAAGTGTAACAAAGATGTGCTTTTGATGCAAAATCCTACGAATGCAAGAGATGGTGAAGATTTGATCCCAATAATTGACGCACTTCAGATTTATGGCTTCAAAAACTTGTGGATTATCGATTTGAATCTCATTTTAGATGATTCCACGGTCCCTACAAAAAATGAGATAGTCATAGTAGGCCTCAATAGAGGCTTTCACTTTGGAATTGGACAAAATGCTACGGGTGTGATGGGAGGTCATTTGGCCCTTATGGTTGCGCACCAAAAAACCAAAGTTGTGGGAGAGACCTCTTTGGGTATGAGTGATGTTAAGGGTTCTATGGTTGGCCCGAGGGGGATTCCACGAAACCACTTTCGGTCTGCTTCTAAGGGTCTTTATAGGTCTCTTAATATCATTGAGGGAAATAATTTCCCGTCTGATATTGTAAATGGCCTCAGAATAGTTTGGGGATGTGATTATTTGTTTAATGCTTTCCAAAGAAAGAATAAAAATCTGTGACAGCATGTCATCAATCGGTTAGAGACAAATGAAAGAAGATGTTCGAAGATTAATAAAATACGTAATATGTGATTAATCTTGTCAATTTGTCCTAATATTTAAAGGCATGGCGGAGTTTTGCCCAAAGATTGTGAAGTAGGCACAACTTACTCTGCACTTAAAGTTTGCGTAATGATGATAGATTAATAGGCGCCCCTTTCAAATGTTGATGTTATTTTTCCTACACAAAGATTTTATGTATATTTGTGGGTAGTGAGTACAAGACAGTGAGTAAATCACATCAATTGAAATTTGGAAGTAAAATGCAAGAGTGGCCATTGTTTACTTCCATAGTGAGAGATTTACTAAACTAACAGTGATTATTTTGTTATGTGCCCTGGAGTAGTAGTTATTATGAAAACCAAATTTGATTCATAAACACAAAAACGGGGAGGGGTCTTAGTGCCTACAGACAAGATTCACCCTCCTATATTGAAGATAAGGTTAGTCTTTGTATGACTGAGTCTATTGGCTCAGAGTGATGTAGTATGCTCAGTATGCCCCAAGATCAAAAGTGCGCTACCAACGTCTCAAAAGTTTCAATCCTAGAAACCTTTTGGACAATGATTAAGTGAGGTAATTTGAACCTATTTTGAGAAGTAGTTTGGGTGGTTATAAAATATAATGAATAATTGGTGACATATTTGATATAATAGTTGAATTATTTTTAATATGCAATGATTAATGTATTATCTAAGAGAAATGAGAACATTTAAATGAGACGTCCAAAAGAAGCAAATGGGAATCTTAACCCGTGACCGAGAGAGTAGAATTTACTTAGTAGTTGTTGATCATCAACAAAAGGCAATGCTCTCTTTCTTCGTTCTCATTAAGCAGCACTCACTAAGAAATATATCTGCACAATATTTCTCCCCATACTTATCTAAAAAGTAAAAACATATTCTGCAATAGAAATTATCACACGTGAGATCACATTTTGGCTTTGTTTTGGTAAATGGTGGATGGTTCAGGGTTGGTCTTCTCCCTTGTAGTGTGCGTGCCTTACCTTTTTCAGTCAGTGTCCTTTTGACATTGCCCAGTACAAGGGTGATGTTCAAAATGAGAAATTGTCCTGTAACAATTGTTATCAGCACCGTGCGAGATGGTAACCCCGAAAGTGGTCCATCCATTTCGTATTAATCAACAAACTAATGACAAGGAAGAATAATAAAGCAGCAACAAGATTTTGTCCAAGTTTCCATGATTGTTTAATATCAAATCTTTGAACAAAACCCATTTACCAGTCCTAATAATGTCAAAGAACTCCAGAACTTGCGGGGTTTGAAGGAATACATTCAGGAAAAGCTTAAGTATAAAGAATTTCAGCTAACCTCTTCAACAAATTGATCCAGCATTCGTCCGCCATAATCATAATTTGACCAAACACCTGCTCTAACTTTTATCTTAACAACTCACATTTTCGACAGAGAGGACGGTGGTACAGCATAGGAGTGGACTCGGGTCGGGCCCAGTTTGGGTGCCGGTTCGGGCCAACCAACCCGGTCATATAGCGGTCCGGGCTCGGGCCTGCGGAAAGTTGAACCGGCCCGGCCGGTTCGGGCCACAACGGCCATTTTTTTTTAATTTTTTTTAATATTTAACTAACGGCTCCTAGCCGTTGGGACTGTTCCCAAACGGCTCTATAGCCGTTGGAGGCATAGGAGGGGGGGTCTGGGGGGTTTGGGGGTGGGGGGTGGGGGTGCGGGATACAAAAAAAACCTATTTATACTCCTATTTTCTATACATTTTTTACACCTCTTCTCCTACAACTCTTCCTACTCTCTAATTCTCTATTCTCTCATATTCAATCATCTATTCATCTTCATCTTCTCCAAATTCTTTCTACATATATATTATTTATATAATTATTATATCTACTTATATATTATTTATCTACTTATAAATACATATATTATATTACTACTATTTATTATCTACTTAATATACACTTGTTATCTACTTAATTTGATATTTAGTTATTATCTATACTTATTGTTATTTACTTATATTTACATATTACATTTAGTTAATATATACTATTATATATATATATATATATATATATATATATATATATATATATATATATTAAAGTATTAAGTACAAGTGTATTACTCATCTTATAGTAATATACTTATATATTATATACTATAAACATTATATTATATATTACTTATTACACATTTACACATCACATAAACTATATATACTTATACACATTCATACATTTTATAAAAGTAGTTAATTGTTAGACTTCTCATTTTTCTATTACATTAGTTAATTGTTACATTTCTCTACATTTCTCTTTAAAGAAAAAAAAAATTAGTTACTTGTTACATATCTCATATTAATATTAGTTCATTTTTCTACATTTATCTTTAAACTATAAAAAGTAGTTAATTGTTACATTTCTCATTTTCCTATTAGTTAATTGGTACATTTCTCATTAAAGTAAAAAAAACTAGTTAATTGTTACATTTCTCTTTAAAGAAAAAAAAAACTAGTTAATTGTTACATTTCTCATATTAATATTAGTTAATTGGTACATTTGTTATTAAAGTATTAATTACAAGTAGTTCAATTTTTTTTTCAAGGAAAAAAATTGTTACATTTGATGTACTCATATTTTAGTTCGAATTTGCTATAGTTTTCTTAGTCACATTTTATTATTACTATTGTACTCAAATAAAATATTTGATACCATTTAATATTTGTTCATCATTTCAAGAATCAACAAAAAAAATTAAAAAAGCCCGGAACCGGACCGGACCGGACCGGCCCGGTAAACCGCCGGGTGGCCCGGCCCGAGCCGGAACCGCCAGCCACCCGGGCCGGTTCCGGTTCCCATTTTCCCAAACAAAGGCCCGGCCGGGCTCAGGCCCGAGCCGGAACCGGCCCGGGTCCATCACTAGTACAGCAGAAGGTGAGCCTCTCGTGCCATGAGAGGGAAATGAGGTGTATGATGAAAACGACGGCAGAATCCAAATCCATTATTGATGCCTCCTATACCAGCCCTTCATCTTCATGCCCTAATGATAAATGCTCACAAAAGCCACCTAGACCTTGAAATCAAGAAATTCTCTGCGTCAAAATTAAAGCAACTGCCGAAACTTGTTGGAAACACCGAGGAGAAGTGGAGAACCTTCTATGGAGCACTGCCAATTCATACTCTAGTTTTTCCCTAAGGCTATTAGTTTATGACATGAGTTAAACACTTCTGCTAAAATTATTATTCAACCACTAACTTAAAGAAGCTCATATATTCCTTCATACACAGATAAAATGTCAATTTCATGAGTACAGTCAATATGGTGCAGGAACCTATATCATTTTAATCAACATTGACCTTCTGCCCTTTTACATTTTTTTTTCTTTGCTCGAGAAGTACAATTACTTTAATTGTATTCATATTCAACATCTCTGTGCAACATATTCAAGACAGGGAATGCCATAGGGAATTCAAGAAACTCAGATAGAACCATCGTTGATAAGGCTATGGTATATTATGTGGAAATGAGTTACTTACGATAATCAATTAACAAATGCAAGCTACGAAACTGTAGCTTTTGATGTTTTAAGCAAACATACAATTTCCAAACAATGACCTCAAACTAACAAAGTAACACCTCAACAACAAGTCAAAGAGATGATAATAGATGTTCAAAATCACACGCTTTCCGGTTTCAAACACACAGACAAAAAGGATGTAGATACAAAAACCTGGGAATTTCACTAATGTGCCAACTTAAAGTAAAGAATCAATATGATTGCAATCACTAAGACGGCGACGATGCATCCAATGATCCATTTATTCCTGCTCATCCTTCTTGACATGTTGGTCAGTATCTTCTTGCTCCTGCTAATATTGTCATCCACTCCATGGAGCTACAGCAAGGGTACAACAACATCCAAGCCTTAGTCCGAAAAAAGTTTGGGGTCAGCTAACATGAATCGACATATGAAACCAGAGTTAAAATGTTTTTATCCTTTAAACCTTGATATTTACACAATCAAAAATAATATAGCTCTTCTGCAGTAAACCCATGGTGAAGCATTCTGGATTGATTTTGAGTCAATTTCTCATCTTCCAAACCAATCGTGATTGTCCGGGTGCGTTTTTAGATATAAAAAGGGAAAGACTAGAGTTTAGAGAGAAAAGTTAAATAGTCGTACTGTATTATGAGCATGAAGAAGAGATTGGCGTTGCTGGTGCAAATCATGAAGAATTGAAACCCCGAGCTCTTCGGTTTCCAGCATCACTTTTCGGCCTTCTCTTATCCTATCACTGGACTGATTCAATCTCTCAGTTGACATCATCAGTCTTTGCCTTTGATCAGTTGATACCTATATATAACATTATGTTAGAATCTTCATCAAATTTTTGAAAGCTTAAACATGCTGGCATAAAAGGATATGTTGAGAGTTGGTTTTTTTAGGGGGTAGTAGGGCTTATTTTATATTTTAAATTCAGAGAGCTGTTTATGGTTTATATGGTATTAAATGAATGACAACATTTGATGAGTTTCTACTGATATTAACATTTGTATCTATATTTTAAAAAATTAGCAAGTTAAGTTGATATTTTTTCCAATGAAAAATAACCACTCCCTCCACATCCCCTCCAACTCCTTCAAACTGAAATGACAAACATGCCAACAGGATATCATGACATCCTCTCATTCCCATTAGCAGAAGAAGCCTTATCCCATGATAGAAGGTAGCATCGCAGCTTCAATAATCAATAAAACTAAAGGCCAGTTTGGTGGTGTTGTTATGAAATGTTGAACTACGAATAAGAAGTGTTAAGCTTTGATGTGAAAGAAAATGAGTTTGGTGATTTCTAATACAGAATGATTTGATGCGTAGGTGTTTAGTAATAAGGTGCTGTTGAATTGCCATTAAACGATTGAAATCAAGTCCAATAAATTAAGGTGTTGTGCTTTGAAAGCATTTCTTATAATTGCGACTTTAAGACTCTTCATGTTGAGCTTTTAAGCTAAAACACTTGGTTTTTTAAACAAAGGATCATATCAGTGATATATCTTATGAACTTAATATTCTAGAAGTTTATAGGAAAAAGTCCATTTACTATTTCAAATCCATCACTTTAGCCCATACACTAAAAAGTACTCCGTATTACATAAGAACTCTTACTTTGGAAAAATCTATTAATCTGACCCCTTTACTTGTTTTTTACCCATACAATCACTTATTTGTATTTTTTTATATATTTTGTAAAAAGACATATATTTCTAAAAATGCAGAAAAAAATATATAATAAATGAAATATATACATATATGTAATGAATAATTTTTTTTGATCGTATATAATGAATAATTGTAAAATCAAAATATATGATAAAAAAGAAAAATAAAATCAATAAATGTAGAATAAAAAATTAATATTCATAAAATGAAAATATAAAAATATTAAATCAAAATTTAAAAATATTTATAAATGTAGATCATACAAATAATTCAAAAAAGAATATATATATATATATATATATATATATATATATATTGAGTTTTACATTTCTTAAAAGTTTTATTTTCTATTCTTTTCCGGATTTTATCAGGTTTCTTAATTCTTTTTTCTAGAACTGACCTGACATAGGAGGTCAGAAATCATTATAATGGCTGAATTGATTGTTTTTTCAAAGTAAGCGTGCTTATGTGATACTCTTTCTTAGTATAGGGGCTTTAGTGATGGATTTGCAATCGATTAAGGGTCTATATGGACCTTTCCCCAAGTACAAAGAACTAGAAGCAATTTCCACCCATACTTAAAACCCTAACACCATCGTACCACTTCACACCCTGACCAAATCTCCAATTTTTGTAACATGTCTATTAAAGCGCCATCGAATAGAAAGTATTCTTGACATGTTGCTAATGTCTTTCTTAAGTCAGGAATACTCTGGATAGTATTGAATTAATGTTTGATAACATGAGAAGTGGACACCACCTTAGCATCTGCCATTCCACCAGATTCCAACAAATCATCTCTTGCTGCTTGGTTAGCATTAGCAGATGTAATTCTTTTAACTTCAGTTTTCAAATTGTTCAGATCACTTTTATATCCTCTCAACTTCTGAAGGAGAGTGGCCTTTACATTTGGTTGCAAACTCCTAGCCTCAAGATCCATTTTGCGAATCTGCATAACAGAAAGACAAAGAAAGAACCATTAATGAAGAATACCAAAGAAGCAAAACTTAGTACCGTTGAAATAATAAACTTCATGTACTACATTACCAAAGCCTCAGCATCATCCAATCCAGATTTAACTTCTGAAATTTTCTGCTTCTTTTGTTCTTCAAGCATGCAAAAACGGGACAACAACAGTTACAAAAACTATGGAGTACAAAAACACATGATCTACATAATAGAAAACTTTAAGTTCTTACACAGGTCCGAATCATGACGCGGACTCAATGTAGTCACAACTTAGATAACCTGTTACTGGAATATTGGCAGCAGTATACGGAGTATTTCCTAATTTTTTTACCAATCAAACAGGGGATAGTACACTTGACTGCAGAAAACAATAGCTAAGTCTTCTCTAAATCTTCTTTGAATAGCATACATTTGATTGAGAAATCAATACTTTTACATTGCGTGAAAAGGGCGCCTAAAAGACACCTCTTTAAATAAAATGCAGGCAAAGAAGACGAAAGGAAACTATTTGCACCTCCATCAAGGCCACTAGCTGAGGTACACTTCTTTGACAAGTTAGAGGACAGCTCACTGTATTGACGTTCATATCCTTCGAACACCTGACTCATTCTACACCACCAAATTCACAAAATTACTATCACAGCCCACCGAAAGTTCCACGAAAATAGCATCATAAACGAGCAATAGGCGTTCAAAATCCCAATACTATCAAGGCTAATTCACTTAACCGATGCTAAGTCAAATTCAGATCAAACAAAAACTGAATCAAAATGATGAAATCCGTAATTCACCGAATGAAAACGACAATAGAAATGAAGACCTAACGATGTTAATTATTGCAGGCAGTAAGCTCTGGAATGGAATTTCACGAAAAAACGCATCGGGAAGGCCTACCTTGAATCTTGAATTGATTAGAAGATCACTGGCCGGTCGGAAATTGATCGCAGAAGAGATTTTGCTTCACACTTTAAAAAAAATGAAGATCAAAATGATTTACGTTTGGTACAGGCATACAGCGGTCGGTGTAAAAGACTCAAATATCCTAAATGGCCCCTACCTGCACGCCACCATTAGGGGAGTGTTTGCATTTGATTAAAAAAAAGTGCTTTTTAGCTTTTGGCTTAAAAAAAGTTAAAAAGAGTGTTTTCAAATGACAGCTTCTGCTTAAATTAATCACTTAAAAGCTAAAAGCTGGAAGCAGGTGGAAGGGTGCTTTAAACTGCTTTTCACTTTTTCTATTACACAAAAAGTACTTCTTTTACCAAACATTACCAACTTTTACTTTTTCATAATCACTTTTTCTTCAAACACTACCAACTTTTACTATTAATCACTTTTCCCAAAATCACTTTAAAAAATCACTTCTTTAAAGTTGAAGCAATTGCAAACACTCCCTAGGAGTGTTTGCAACTTCTTCTTAAAAAAACACTTTTGGAGTCATTTGGAAAAAGTGATTAGTAATAAAAGTTGATAGTGTTTGAGAAAAAAGTGATTTTAAAAAGTAAAAGTTGGTACTTGGTAGTGTTTGGTAAAATAAGTATTTTTTGTGTAATACAAAAAGGAAAAACACTTTCTCACGAAAGCCGAGAAAAGTAAAAATTGACAGTGTTTGATAAATAAGTGTTTTTAAGCCAAAAGCTGAGAAGTGCTTTTTTAAAACTTTTTTAGTTAACAGACGGACTATTACTAAAGTATGGAGCATTGAACATTTTATTTCGCGTAAATTACATGGGTAATTTAACTATGCACTCCATTTTTTGAGTTACATTGACTTTACATTCCATTTTTGGGTTATATTGGACTTTGCACTTCATTTTGAAAAAACTTTGATTTTACACCCTAACACATACTCCGTAACATTTTGTGAAGAAAAGACTCTGAATTGGATGTAAAGTCAAAGAATTTTTAAGTATGATGGGGTGTAAAGTCAAAGATTTTTGAAAATGAAGTGCAAAGTCCAATATCATTCAAAAAATAGGGTTCAAAGTCAATTTGAATGATAAGATACTAATTATCTCCTTAAACAACTATCTAAAATGTTCATGTCAGGCCCGAGTAGTGGTGGACTCGGGTCGGGCCACCCGCCCGTGGCCCTGCCCGTGGCCCGGGACCGGCCCAGTTCTCGGGTCCGGGTCGGGCCTAGGCCCGGGGAGGAGGGAGGGCGGGTCTGGGCTCGGGTCTCACATTTGACGAACCGGCCCGGTCGGGTCCGAGTCCAGGCCAAATTGTTTTTTTTTTGTTTTTTCATTTTTTGGGGTTCCACCCAGGTTGGGCTTGATGGTTAGGAGGGGGTTGGGCTGGGGGGGTTAGGAAAGCAAAAAAAAATACCCAAACCGGAGGCCCGGACCAGACCCGGTGGCTACCCGGGTCGATCCCGGGTCCACCAATCCTGAACCGTCGGCCCGCCCGGGCCTAGGTCCGACCCGGACCCGGCCCGGGTCCATCACTAGGTCGGAGCCAGGCCGGGTCGAGCCTTGAGAAACCAAGGCATTTCCTGTGGAATATTGCACGCCTTTCCATCATGCACTAATGTTGCAACGTTCATGTCTAAGAAGCTGTTCTCTTCACCTGATCTGAATGTTTCTGATCTGAATTTTTTAAGTTTTGATCTGATCTGATATGATCTGAATCTTTCTGGTCTGATCTGAATGTTCCTGATCTGATCTGAATGTTCCTGATCTGATCTGAATGTTCCTGATCTGATCTGAATTTTCCTGATCTGATCTGAATGTTTCTGATCTGATCTGAATCCTTTTGATCTAAATCTTTCTGATCTGATCTGCTTTGAATATTTCTAAAATTATAATTACAATTATAATTACTATAATTATAAATGTAATTACACATATATAATTTAAATATATTTATAATTATAATCATAATTATAAAAATTATAATTATAATTACAAACATAATTATAATAGGTATTATTATTATTATACGTATTACACTAGTTATAAATATAGTTATAATTATAATTGTAATTATATTTATAGTTATATTTATTTCTATAATTATAATTTTAATTATAATTATAATATTTATTTCTATAATTTTAATTGTAATTACTCCGTATAATATGATATTAACGAAAACAAAACTAATAACAATAACAACAACAACCATATTAGTAGTAAGAATAATAATAATCATGATAATAATAAATATAATAATAATAATAATAATCATAATAATAATAATAACAATAATAATAACAATAATAATAATAATAAGAATAATAATAATACTAATAATAATAATAATAATATCAATAATAATATTAATTATAATGATTACAATAACAACAACAAGAATAATAATAATTATAATTATTATAATTAATATAATTATTATAAATATTATTATAATTATTTTAAATATTATTATAATTAGTATTATAATAAAAAGGATAAATCATGTCTGAACTTTTCTGATCTGATCTGAATGTTCCTGATCTGATCTGAATGTTCCTGATCTGATCTGAATGTTCCCGATCTGATCTGAATGTTCCTGATCTGATCTGAATGTTCCTGATCTGATCTGAATGTTTCTGATCTGATCTGAATCTTTCTGATCTGATCTGATCTGAATCTTTCTGATCTGATCTAATCTAAATTTTTCTGATCTGATCTGAATAAAATAAGAATAAGCAATAAGTAATAATATTAAGACGAACAGAACAACTTCTAAGATACCTTCCGTCCGGTCAGAAACAACTCTTCATGGCCTCTTTCCACAGGAAATCAACCATCTCTCCAAACTAAAATGTTCCACCCGTTTCCCACCCTACACTGAGCCCCTGCATTAACAACTTCTTGAGTAGATAAAAGGGATACTTTCAGTTTGCACCTCATATTATTGTCCAAATTGGACTCTGCACCTCGTTTTTTTTAAAAAAATTGTTTTTGCACCGCCAACCTCGTATGAAAAGACAAAAAATGGTCCTTCGTCAACAATTTTGTTGGCCTTCAACGTATTCATGATTGAGGGGCATTTTTGTCATTTCATATGGCGTTAGGGGAGCAAAAACAAATTTTTAAAAACGGGATACAGAGTCCAAGTTGGACAATAAAATGAGGTGCAAACTCAAATTACCCCTAGATGAAATGCTAAATACTACCTCCGTCCCCCTAAGTTTGGGACAAAGGAGTGTGGTGTGGTTTTTAAGAAAGAGTAGAATTGCGTTGTTGGTATTGAATTGATAAAGTGTAAATAAAGTGGAAATGAATTATAACCACTCAAATATTACCAAATATGGTATGAGACAAACTTAATGGGACGGACGAAAAAGGTAAAACGGGACAAAATTAGAGGGACGGAGGGAGTAGTATTTTGCTTTTGGTACCTGCCCAACCAGTTTATTTGGCTTAGTAAATAACTCAAAGCCCATACCCATCCATAGATGGGAGGCACCTAGGCAAATGCTAGGGCACCATTATTTTTGGGACACCAACTCAAGTAATAATACTAATGTATACTTGCATATAAGGATGGATTGGGGCGGGCCGACCCGGTCCGTCACTGTGCAGGCCTGGCCCGGGACGCAGTCCGGTAAAAAAATAGGCGGGCATCGGGCTCCTATTTTGGTGGACTAGCCCGGCTCAAGCCCAATTAATTTTTCTTTTAATTTTTTCCCATTTGGCTGACCGCTAGGTGGGTGGGGCTGGGCGTTTGGGGGGTTTGGGGGTTGGGGGGTTGGAATTAATTCGAAAAGACAAAAAAAACACTAATTAAGGCTCGACCCTGCCCGACCCAGTCTCGAACCGGTCCCGGTAGAAACCCGGGCTGGTACCTGGCCTGATGTTTTTGGGCCCGGAGCCCGCCTAGTCCCGGCTCGGATCCGGACCGGACCCGGCTCAGTCCACCCCTACCTGCATATAATACTCGTACAATAAAATCTATGTATATAGAAGTATTACTTGTATACTCTCTATACGAATAAGATGATCTATTTGATAATTCAAGTTTAAGTTCCAAATATGAGGGATTAAAGATGGACTTTGCCGGGGCCCGGGAGAATCTCAAATCAGTTTATATACAAAAGTTTGTAAAGTTTAATTATCTTAAGATTTGATGGGCTTTGGGGAAAAAGGTACACCAAGCTCAACATTATCATTGCCCAATTTTAACATCATTTTTTTAGTTATGGACAGATAAAAAGAAGAGAAATGAAAAGTTAAATTAATTATGTATACCACATCATTTGTCCAGCCTATTTAATAATTTATTTGTCTCCTATATTTGCATCATTTTATTTTTTGCATTCGTCTCCCTTACTTTATCTCATATCGTATCGTACTCGGTAGTGTTTGGATAGTACAATTCTTTCTTACTTTATTCTTTTCGACTACGCTAGGCCAAAGTTGAACCCAATTCCAAAACCTAAAATGAAAAGTGGAAAACTTCACAAACGGCAAACTGGCCAACTCTAGGGAGTGTTTGCAACAGCTTCTGCTTTAAAAAAAGCACTTTTGGAGTGATTTGGAAAAAGTGATTATTTGTAAAAGTTGATAGTGTTTGAGAAAAAAGTGATTTTGAAAAGTAAAAGTTGGTAGTGTTTGGTAAAATAAGTGCTTTTGGTGTATAAAAAGTGGAAAAGCACTTTTGACACGAAAGCCGAGAAAAATAAAAAATTGGTAGTGTTTGGTAAATAAGTGCTTTTTTAAGCCAAAAGCTGAGAAGTGCTTTTTTTAAAGTGATTGCAAACCAACTTTAGGGCTAGTTTTCAAACGCTTTAAAAAAAGCATTTCTCGGCTTTTGGCTTTAAAAAAGCACTTCTTTTACCAAACACTACAACTTTTATTTTTCTCGGCTTTCGTGTCAAAAGTGCTTTTATTTTTTCTATTACACAAAAAACACTTATTTTACCAAACACTACCAACTTTTACTTTTCAAAATCACTTTTTTCTCAAACACTATCAACTTTTATTTAATCACTTTTCCTCATTTCATTAAAAAAAACACTTTTTTAAAAGCAGAAGCTGTTGCAAACAGACCCTTATCATCCTAATTCTCCGCCGGCTGCTATTACACCGACTTTGAAATCAATCTCTGATCAGCCATTTATTCCCAATCAAATTTTTAAGGAGCATTTTTTCAGTTTCACACTTTCACACCCTCAACATTAGTTATACATTGGTCACAGGGAAAACGTTTTTGAATATATAGAGCCATATTCAATATAAGTTTAAATTGAATGAAAAATTTGGAGTTAAATTTTAATTTGTGTTAAAGAAATCTGAAAAATATGTAGTTGCCTTTTAACTTTGTGCCATATCTACTATAATGATTCCTTTTAACTTCAAAGTTTGATTACATATATTTGCATCTTTCTTTTCATTTTTTAAGCATGACAATTCCTTTGTATATGATTTCTAGTATCTAACAACACTTATTAGTTTGAAGATTTTAATTTTTGGCCTAGGCTTCCTTTCTTTAGATGGATTTAAGGATGTTTTTATTTAAATTGCTTTTAATACCAAATTAAATTTAAACAAATCAGATTAGACCAGACTTAAATAGAACAGAACAGATTTTGACTGTCACAAAAAACACACAGAACATACATTTAATTTATCAGACTAGAATATTTCAATCCAACTAAACACATCATGACAGTGTCTCACAGTGATCAATGGTTCACTAATCACCTCCGGCTCCGGTGACTACTGCCTTCAGTGATACCACCGCCGAGAGTGACCACCTTCAATCCGGTTAGTGACAAAGCATTTAGGCCAGTTTCATATTTCAAAATCAAAGAAAAATGAGATGAATCCACCCACGTGTTAACCCTGTTGCCACCCATCTACCTAGAGATGGCAATTGTGACCGATCCAATGGATACCCGCACCGAACCGCCCCGGTCAAAATGGGGAAAACCGCATTGACCGGGTAACGGGTATGGGGCGGGGAATACCCGTTTTGTTTTTACAGGTAACGGGGCGGTTACGGTTTTATACATGCCCGCCCCATTACCCGCCCCTTACCCGCCCCGTTTATTTTAGTTATATTTTTATTACATTTTTATCTATTATTTGTCCCATGAGTAATAGAAGATGAGATTTTTCTATTTTCATTGAGTATATGGATAATAGATGTACTAATTATAATGTTTCCATGAAAGTTCATAATAGATCTTAATAGTCTTGTTTGATTATTATCAGATTTTTAGTGAATAATTATTTTTTCAGATTAAGTTTTTTAGGTTCAAATTAATTTATGGTGTCTTCTTTCTCGTCTTGTAGATATACAAAACTTTACAGGGGCGTCTCATTCTAGAGTTATCTAGGTGATGCCATTTTTTCACCTTCTAAAATATTATTTTTATATTAAAATATCAATGACTCATTTAATAAAGCGATTACCCACGGTTACCCGCGGTTATACCCGTTACCCGTTGGGGCGGATACGGTTTGGGTAAAAATTACCCGTTGGGTAATGGGGCGGTTATGGGGCGGGTACGGTTATATGTAAAACCGTCCCCGAACCGCCCCATTGCCATCCCTAATCTACCCCAATAACCCTGACCGCCGCCGCCTATCTAAAGACATGTTATCATTATTTCTATTAGGGGTGAGCATGGGACGGTACGGGACGGTTATTTCGAAAATCTTGTCCCGTTTGGTACGGTTCGGTATGGTTCTTCGGTGTTATTTAGTTCCTAAATAATTAACCCTCGTGAAATATAAAAAACTTTAGATTTTAACATTTATAAATAACTCTACAAAAATTTAAGAGAAGATCTTGCAAGACTACGTTTAATTGTTCTTGTGTGATCAAATTGAAATATGAAACTAATAATCAAACTATAATAAAGAAAAGTAACATTCAGACTAAAAAGCAAAAGTGATTGTCAAAATGAAAAACCAAAAAGTATCACATCACATGACAAAGAATATGCAAGATTACACATTTGTAATATACGGACATACGGTCACTAACATTTACACTCGGTATAATATTATATATAATATATAATATATAATGTATTATTATATTACAACACTAGTTTTCAGGACAATTCGGTACGGTACGAGACGGTTCGGTTCAATACGGTTCCAGGATGATTCCGGAACGGTTCTCACTAAGAACCGGTACCGTACCATCTTATTAAAAAAGTTCGGTACGGTACAGTATGGTATTATATTTTTCTGGTTCTATCGGTTCTGGAAAGGTTCGGGACGGTTCTTCGGTACGGAACGAGAATTCCCAGATCCGCGCTCAACCCTAATTTCTATCCTTATTCAATTAACTTTTATTAGCTTATTCATCATCATTACCTCAATGCCGCAAAGCCCCCTTATATACTAAAGCAAATAGAGACTGTTTATGGATGACCACAAGTGAAAATCACGTCGAAAATTGCATGTGCTGACTGCTGCTTCAAAACAAAAAAAAATGCGGACAATGTAGTGAGTTGTTTTGCTTTATTCCATCATATTAGTTTATTATACTACTATAGTATATGAATACATATCGCCTACCAAACTTTAAAAACATTTTAAAACATTGTAATTAGAGAAAGCTTGCCCATATAAACGGGATCCTTCTTCATACACCCGCCTTGAGATTTGACGTATCTACCTTGCTTTGGCAACAAAGCAAAGTATCAGCCAATAGAGGCCCTCCTATCAGAAACTTGAACGGTCACCGATCTAAGCATCCACTTTTTTCACCGATCAAGGCATCTCCATTTTCATCCGACCCCCATTCCCTGCAAGGCATTCTGTCATATGACCGAGGATCCTAATTCCTTGCCTTGCAGAGCGTCAACATGGACTGGGCTGCCCTTTGGTCACACTTCATTGTGTGTTTTGTTTTCTATGTAATACCTAAGAGGCCTTGTCCTAAATGTGATATGACTGTTTTTCAATTGTCCGTCAAATTAAAACAATTTGTTGCATGTTCAAGATTGTCTGAGTTTATGTTTCTGTTTTTTTTTGTCTTGAACCAAAATAGATTTACCCACTTTTACATATAGAACAAAGCGCGGAGCTATAAATTCCTAGCTCAAAATGAGCAGAGCTCTGATCATTCCCAAGTTGATCATGCATGAAAAACCACTTCCAGTTGAGATCCCTATTTGGGAGAAGAGTCCTAAGTAGACATTTACTCTTCAATAATTTCATCATCGCCATCCTCATCTTCCTCTTCATCGTCATCGTCATCATCTCCAGAGGGAGGAGGGTGTCCATTAAGATCCACTAAAACCCCATTGGGCTTCCTAACAAACTGCCCACGCACCCGAGGCCTCCTATCTGCCAGTCGTTTGCGGTTCACATACCGAATCTTCTTGTCAAAGCAACGCGCCTTCTTCTTCTCTCTGAACTTCATCAATGCAGCCTCTCTACGATTCATTATTTTACCCACCTTACCACCATCAACTGTTGAGGAGCTTCCATATGATGATGGTGATGGCCATGGTTGCACACACATGTTCATTGGATAATAGGTGTATGAACCCATTCCAGGCATCACCACATGATTCATCATTCCCGGGATGTAATATGGTTGGGGACAAGAAGTGTGGGTATGCAAACCTGACATATCATTGTGCGAGTCATATGGTTGATGCGTATGCACTGTCTTAGAGAAATCATCTGTTTCCATTGAGAGAGAATCTGGAATGCTGTTACTGCTCCTTGGATAGTCATCTCCTTGTGAATAATAATCGACAGCTACGGCTTGTTGTTTGGTCTCCTCAAAATTCCCACCCAATGCACTATTTAGATTTGTATCAATACTTAGATGATGATGCTGATGAGAAGTGTTTTCAGGGACAGCACATTGGTTAGGGTTTGACTTGACGTATGTAAAGAACGCAGAAGGCCCGCCTATTTTCAATTCACTCTTTTTTGGAATTGAACAAAACTTTCCTGGAAAGGGAAAATCAATATAGATGATTAGTCATCCTAGTGTGGCAGATTAAAGAAAGATAATTATGTCTTATTGGAAATAAAAAAACATTATGATGTGATAAATACGATTAGGTAGAACTCACTAGGGGCATGATATTCATGTCCACAAGGAGTAAAATATAAGGCACTGGCACAAATCAAAGCTAAAGCAGTAAAGGAACACAGATCTGATAACAAAGAGGGAAATAGGCGTATATTGATAGTGAATATCTCGACTTAGGCAACAAGGCAACCGGGACTCTCAAGGCAACATTTAATCAAATAACAGTCTACCTCTATACTCTATTCCCCCCTTCTATTTATAGCAATTCTCCCCACATAAGGATATGCCAAATATTACTAATACCCCTTCCCTTCTATTAATACTACTACAAGTACCTTTACTATTATTATTATTATGATTATTTCTTATTAATAGCCTACTAAACCCAGATTCCTAACATAAAATAACATCATGCATAACCAAATACTCAGGTACAATGACATCCCTATTACTTCATCACTTCATGTATGATGCTTGTCATTTTTATTCCAGCTTACTTTAGAAACAAAATTCAGATTGAAAAATTTAGGGTTCATTTGCTCACTTTTCCAGTTTTATGTTTTCACAAGTTCGAATTCCAATAGTTTTGGTTTCAACTTTTTAGTATATACTCCCACTGTGTTTTATTAATTGTTCCCATAGATTTTTCATGAACATTAAGATGAAAGTAGTGCGGGTAGTGAATAGTAGGGCAGAGATGATTTAAAAGTAGAAAGAGTAAGAAGAAAAGATGATAAAAGGGAATTTATGTAAAGTTAAGGATAAAAGTAGAGGTAAAAGTTGTCAAGTTAGGAAATGGGGTAAATAATTAAAAACTTCTCCAAAAAGGATTATAAGGTATATAATACGAAGTATATCACTGATCTCATATATCGTAGTTGATGCCAAGTTCTTTTGGGACTAAGGCTTGAATGTTGTTGTAAAAAGAATCTAAAATTTATTCTTGATACAGCAGTAAGGAATTCTAAATAAATTATAAATTGAGCCAAAATTGGAAACACACTTGGAACAACTTACAGTTTTTCTTTTCAGAAATTGGTAACAAAAAGAATATAGGGAAGAACATTTTATTTTTCTCTGTTTAAGAGTGAAAAGAAATCCAAAAAACACATTACCAAAATTGTCCTAGTCAACGAACATGATAATGTGATTTCAAATTTGGACTTTATAATAGAAAGCAACAACAGAAGAAAAATCATAACCTCAATACACTAACAAACATGAAGAGTAACACAAATGCATCCCTAACAAAGTGGATGGGGGGATTGATAACTTTATGGATAGCTATTCGAGCTGCTATAAGATACAACATTCAACAAAGGGAAAAGGAACAAATAAGCCCTTCTACTATTTCCAATCCATCACATAAGCCCTTCTACTAGAAAAAGCATCATATACGTATGCTTACTTTTTCAAGTTAGCCGGTCAAAATGGCTTGATTGATTGCATAAAAAAGTAAGCATACTTATATGATGCCTTTCTTAGCAGAAGAGTTTAAGTGATGGATAAGAAATACTCTCTCCGTCCCGTAATTAAGTTCCTACTTTCTTTTTGGGGATGGTCCATATTAAAGTTCCTACTTCAAACCTTTCCTTATTTGGCAAATGATTTACACTAAAACAGTGCCAAACAGTGTTAAACAGTGTTAAACAGTGCCAAACAGTGCACTCCACAGTAAAGTCAAATTTATTTCTTAATATGTGTGAAGTCAAACTAGGAACTTATGTTAGAACCTGCAGAATCAATTCTACAGAACAACAATGGATTTCAAGAAGAATTAGGGCCAAACTTTATTACTCAGGCAACAGGGGCCATCGACCAAAGGCTACAATCGGGGCAACAACTTTACAATTTGAAATTCAGCACACTACACACAACCCACTCTACTTCTATTTATAGTATGCTTTATAACTGCCAGCATGTACATTAGTTATAACAACTAACTAACCCTCGGCCCTTCCCTTCCTTATGTACACCTTACTAAAATACTCATCTCCTCGTTTCTGAATAGCAGGGTCCCTATCATTTCTCCACTCCATTAATATCAAAGAAGGCTCCAGCATCCCCAATATAAGGCCCTACAGATATTCCTATGACCAGAAAAATGAGATTGAGAGGATTGTTAAGGAGATGCTCAATTCTGGAATCATAAGGAACAGTAATAGCCCATACAGTAGTCCCATTTTATTAGCCAGGAAGAAAGATGGAGGTTGGCGTTTCTGTGGAGATTACAGAGCCTTAAATAAGATCACTGTACCAGATAAGTTTCCAATTCCTGTAATTGAAGAATTGTTGGATGAGTTAAATGGGGCTAAGATCTTCTCCAAACTAGATTTGAAATCTGGTTACCATCAAATCAGGATGAAGGCTGAGGACATACATAAGACTGCATTTAGAACTCATGAAGGGCATTACGAATATTTAGTTATGCCTTTTGGGTTGACTAATGCACCATCCACTTTCCAGGCATTGATGAATGAGGTTCTAAGGCCCTTCCTAAGGAAGTTTGCATTAGTATTCTTTGACGATATACTAGTGTATAGTAGATCAATGGAAGAACACATTGGGCATTTGAGGAAGGTATTGGCAGCTTTGCAGGAAAATCAGTTGGTAGCTAACAAAAAAAAATGCTCATTTGGCCAAAAACAGCTATCTTACTTGGGGCATATAATTTCTGAAGATGGAGTAGCTGCTGATCCCAGTAAGATTGAGGCTATCAAGGAATGGAAGGAACCTCAGGATTTAAAAGGGTTGAGAGGATTTCTGGGCTTAACGGGATATTACAGGAGATTTGTTAAAGGCTACAGTAAACTGGCTGCACCATTAACTCAATTATTGAAGAAGGATTGTTTCAAATGGGGTGATGAAGCCAAAAGGGCATTTGAGGAGTTAAAAATTTCAATGACTACCCTGCCAGTCCTAAGGACCCCAGATTTTAATAAAGTATTCACTGTGGAAACTGATGCATCTGGAAAAGGGGTGGGGGCTGTGTTAATGCAGGAGGGCAGACCATTAGCTTATATGAGCAAAGAGCTATCTATCAAACATCAATCCAGGTCTGTATATGAGAAAGAACTTATGGCCATAGTTTTTGCTATCCAAAAATGGAGACCCTATCTCCTGGGAAGACAGTTTGAGGTAATCACAGACCAAAGAAGCTTGAAATACCTCACTGAGCAGAAGATCATGGGGGAAGAACAACAGAAATGGATTTCTAAGTTGATGGGTTATGACTTTGTGATTAAATATAGGCCAGGAGTGGAAAATGGAGCTGCTGATGCCCTTTCTAGGAAGATGACTATCTTCTCTTTATCCATAGTCACTTGTCAGGAGTGGAAGGGGCTTGAGGAAGAATTAGAAAGGGATCCTTGGTGTGGAGAAGTGATCCAGAAGGTTTTAACTCAACCAGACAAGATGAAGAATTTTATGATCAAGGGAGGACTACTATATTTCAAGGGGAGACTGGTCCTTCCAAAAGGGTCCGACAGAATTACAAAAATACTAAAGGAATATCATGAAACTGCGTTGGGTGGGCATTCAGGTCAGTTCAGAACAATGAAGAGGATAACCAACCTTTTCTACTGGGTGGGGATGAAATCTGAAATAAAAGGCTTTGTTCAGGGGTGTGATATATGTCAAAGAAACAAGTATCAAGCCCTCAAACCAGCAGGATTATTGCAGCCTATTCCTATACCCACACATACTTGGAGTGATATAAGTATGGACTTCGTGGGTGGTCTGCCTAAATCTTTTGGTAAGGATACAATTTTGGTTGTGGTTGACAGGCTATCAAAATTTGCTCATTTTCTGGCTTTATCCCATCCCTACAATGCAAAGGAAGTAGCTGAGCTGTTTATGAAGGAGGTGGTTAAAATACATGGATTTCCAAGATCTATAATCAGTGATCGGGACAGCCTATTTCTCAGTACATTCTGGTCAGAATTATTCAAATCAGCAGGCACTACTTTGAAGTACAGTACAGCTTATCATCCTCAAACGGATGGACAAACGGAAGTGGTCAATCGTTGTCTAGAAACTTATTTGCGTTGTATGGCTGGAAGGAAACCCAAACAATGGGTTAAGTGGCTTCCTTGGGCAGAACTGTGGTATAACACAAATTACCACATATCTTTGAAGGATACTCCTTACAAAGCATTATTTGGGCAGGACCCTCCAGTTATTGTCAGGGGTGATGTCAGTCTTTCAGCTGTAGAAGAAGTCTCTAAATTAACAGCTGAAAGGAATGATCTACTTAAGGAACTGAAGGAACAATTAGCCAAAGCCCAGAATCTTATGAAACAGCAGTCTGATAAGCACAGGAGAGAGCTGAAACTGCAGGTAGGGGATAAGGTATATTTGAAGATACAACCCTACAAAATGAGAAGCTTAACCAAAAAGGTGAATCAGAAATTAAGCCCTAGGTTCTATGGACCTTATGAAATCCTTGAAGAGGTCAACCCAGTGGCTTTTAAATTGAAATTACCTGTAGGCTGCAGGATTCATCCAGTTTTTCACATTTCATTGCTGAAGAAGGAGTTGAAGCCTACTAACGTGTGCCAGGATCTGCCCAGCTGTTTGACTGAGGAGTATGAGCTCCTAGTTTGGCCAGAAGAAGTTAGAGATGTCAGGAAGAATTCCAAGGGAGAAAAGGAAGTGCTAATACATTGGAAAGACCTTCCAGATTTTGAAGATTCCTGGGAGACAGAATACAATATCAAACAACAATTCCCTTCCTTCCAACTTCTTTCTTTCGTTTGTTTTTCCCACCATTGCACCCAACCGAGTGCTTTTCCTTCCATTGCTATCACAGCAACTTCACATTTTTCCTCTTCTTCCACATTTTGGAGTCTGAAATATCGGTCGATCCTCACCAGCCAGCCAAAAGCATCCTCACCTTGGAATATTGGCAGATCGATTTTCCGGTGCACCTGAGGATGATGATTCGATCGTTGATGTCGGCGAGGTGTGGAATTATGTTGAGAATCATCCGAACTGTCAGAACTTTCAATCGATTTCATCGATTGATGATGCGATGAGTGGTGCGAAGAGTGGTGCGAAGTCGCGGAAGTTCGCGATCGACTCCGCGATCGACTTTTGTCTCTGGCGTCCAGCTTCGCCAAAATCGTCGCCAGTAATTCCTTCGTCTCTTGTCGATCCTTCTCCAATTGTTCAATTCTGGCTTCCATTTTCGCACGCGTAACTACCATCCACAGTGATCGAAGTCTCTGATACCAATGTTAGAACCTGCAGAATCAATTCTACAGAACAACAATGGATTTCAAGAAGAATTAGGGCCAAACTTTATTACTCAGGCAACAGGGGCCATCGACCAAAGGCTACAATCGGGGCAACAACTTTACAATTTGAAATTCAGCACACTACACACAACCCACTCTACTTCTATTTATAGTATGCTTTATAACTGCCAGCATGTACATTAGTTATAACAACTAACTAACCCTCGGCCCTTCCCTTCCTTATGTACACCTTACTAAAATACTCATCTCCTCGTTTCTGAATAGCAGGGTCCCTATCAACTTAATTAAGAACCGGAGGGAGTACTAGAAGAGTCTATTTGACCCCTCTCCCTTCAAGGAAGGGTAAGTAGTAAGTACTTTGCAAAGACCTTGTGATCACGTGGCAAACCTCTCCAATCTGGTTAAGAGATTGCAGGTACAGAACTCACCCGTTAATCACACCAAACAGAATATACACAGAAAATAGTTTTCTTTTTTAACAAGAAATCAGTAGATTGTTTCTGTATTTTTTCCCCGTAGATTGTTTCTGTATTTGAGTAGAGAATCACTCACCTGTCTTCTGATGGCTACTTCCTGATAGACACTCGACTGAACCCACAACTGCAGTCTCCCGGTATGCAGCACTTGTTGTGGCATTGGCCTGAAACGTTTTAAGGAAAAAAGTAAGTGTACACACCGACAAATTGCGCAATTTAATATATATATAGTACCTCATGGAAGATTTGGAAGGAAATGGCTTATTTATGTTTGACATGAGAAATATTTATGTTTGAGATGAGAAATAACCATTTTATACCACTACCATTATCATCAGAAAGGAACGATTTATTATTTTCATGAAAACACGCCTTCTTTGAAGATTGACTATGTTTACGGATAAAATACGGATAAAAAATGGGAGTAGAATTGGAATGAAAGAGTATTTGGGGGGAATGTAAAAAAACCGTTCAAACTCAAAAAAATTAGTTTACACATTTGTTCATGTGCATTTTTATTTATTAGTTTAGACATTTAGGAGATATTTTTTCATCATTTTAATCTTTTTATCTTATGTTATTTTCTTTTATCCTTTTTATCTTATCATTTTTATCTTTATCTTATCTTTATCATATCTTTTTATCTTTTTTTTTCTTATCTTATCTTTTTAGCTCTGATTTCATGTGGCGATTCATGTTAGCCGACCCCAAACTCTTTTGGGACTAAGGCTTGGATGTTGTTGTTATGATCACTATAAAAAAAGGGCAGCTAGGTGCCTCGGCATACGAAGGCATCCCCGCGAGGCGGGGGTCCGGGAAAGGGTCCCACCACAAGGGTGTAAAAGGGGCAAGTCTTCCGAAACTTGAACCCATGACCTCTAGGTCACACATTAACACTTCAACCGGTGCGCCAAGCTCCGGTCACACAGCAGATAATCACTACGAAATTTAAAAGTACGTAACCTTTTTAAAAACTAAACATATGTTCCTTCTTGGGCTCCAAGGTAAAGCCAAACATAAGAAATAACTTTCCTTAATAATTTAAATTTTTGCCCTATCATTTTCTGATATCCAAACATACCCTAAGTGGCTTTCCATTTTTCAGCAACTAACACTTTAACCCACATAAACTGACTGTAAACCAAAGAGCATGTGGTGAAGAAGAATGGTGGTTGATCAGTTTTGGTAAGTCATTGATGGATCACTCATCTATGCGCTTTGAACTTGGTCAGTTTTGGAAAGTCATTGATGGATCACTGATGTATGCGCTTGGAACTTTGGATAACATAGAGAACTGCTGAAACCCAACTAATACTATTTGGATAGCATCATTTAAATGTTAGTCAAGCTTTTTTGTTAATTTACTGAAGAGGAAAATGGAAGCTAGAAGCATTCCTTATTAACATAGACTCTGACTTTCTGTTTATTTCATGACAATGAAGGCTCAAAGCATTCCTTATTAATATTAATAACATAAAAACAGATCATGGAGTCCTGGATAGTTCTAGTGGTTCACCTCATCTTCCTGTTGTGAGCAGTGACTAGTTTCTGGATTAATGCTTTTATGTGACTTTTCATCTGTGTCATCTGAGAAGAGTGTAGTGCTGTTTGTGCTAGCATCACTTGGGTCTGATATTACCAAATCAAAGTCATAATTTATAATGTTCTTCTCCACTAGTCCAAGCTGTCAATAAACGAAGAGACACATAATAAATGATTATTCTACAACCTCTATACATATTCTAGCACAGTAGCAGTATAACGCTAACTACTTTTTGGTTACCCAAATCTTTCTTGAATTGTTAAGGCTATGTCCAGAACTTGGATAATGGTATGAAAGGAAAAACATCAAAAGGAAAATTGCTTTTATGATGTTTGGTATAGTTTGAAAAATATTACCGCAGATAAAATTTGGTTAAAAGTTTTGAAAATATTACCAATAATCAGATTTCTTATTCTTTATTATATAATAGAAATATTTAGATAAAATGACTATGAACAAATATTTAAAATTGATATATTGAGTTTGAAGCAGCTTCTAATTTTCCCTCAATTTTGTTTTCCAAATTTCATCACTAAATTTGTTCCCTAGAACGTTTTGAGTTCCAAACCAACCCTAATACAAAGATGGAAAAGAAGAATATAATGTCTAACTGTGAGTACCATTCGCCTTCTTCTCCACATATGAGTCCACAAGTTCAATAGTTCATTAGTGCGGAGAGGCTTTACAAGGTAATCAGCAGCCCCCAATCTTAAGCATTTCACAACAACAGATACCTCATCTTGAGATGACATCACTGCATGAAAAAATGGATCTTTTATTTTAACTCTTGAATTAAAAGTTGAGTTTAAAAGGGGAAATATGATGAATTTGACTTACTGATGACTGGAATTCGCCTTAATTCTTTATCCCTCATAATGTATTTCATCAACTTCATACCTTTGGACATGGGAAGGTCAACTTCACACAGAATAATATCAATATCAGGTGCTTGTGCATTTAATGCATCAATGACCTGTCTGGGCGATCTAACAGAAGTCACTGCAAATTAAAACTCACTCAGGCTCGGGAAAAAAGAATCTACTAAAAATCTATTTCATCCCTATAAGGAAAGAGAGTGCAATGAAAATTTATCTTTATTAAAACACACGTGTTCAACAATTTATTGACCTAGAACCAGGAGTTTGAAAATGTTTATTTTGGGAGTAAGATGGCAAGCTAAGGTCTCCTTTGGATCAGTGTGTAAGAACTCCCAAGTTCTATCACAACTTGTAATTGTGGGCATCACATGCCTCCCACATCACTTGAGTTTTGTGAGCTTCCTAGAAGTTGCGTAGTTCCCTACATTCCAAAATTAATTTTATCTAATCCCCACTATTTTGTTTCTCGTTTATGGGTAATTCAATTCGTATAACCAAATATATTCAAAACGGCCTTAACTGCTCAATACACTTGCTGACTTGCAGGATCTAATTCGAAAAATCACCGGCAAGCAGTACATAACTAAAAGGAATCAACACCAAATAATACATGATCTGTAAGATTATTAACCTCAGTAACCCATTCAAATATTCAATCACCACATCTATAATATTTCACATAAACCATGAACCAAATCACAACTTATTTAGAATGGAAGTAATTACAAGACGTTAAGACGTGATCTTCCTACAGCTTACTAGAAAAGTTAAACTCCGTTCTAGTCCAGAGCACACAGAACACGTTGCAGGCTTGCATAAGCAGTAAAATCTGGTGCAAATTTAATCTAATAACAAAAACAGCAAAACAATTGAGGAATATAACAAAGTTAACTCGAACTGCAAAAGAGAGAAGATTCAAATACCTTGATATGAACATTTGCACAAAAGCGTGAAAACTTCCCCAGAGCTCTTCAAATCATTATCACACAGCAAAATTCTAACTTTACTCCTGTCTATGAATCCATCCCCAGTCTTCACAGTCTCTTTGTTCTCCATCAAGGCCACTCAAAAGAAAAAAGAAGATATATATATATATATACACGAATTTTATGTTCTGGAAGTTGGGGTTCTGCTCGAAACCATAAAAATCCAGTACTAAAGAAGCTACGTACAGAAAAGTTGTTTATTGACTACCAAGACCAAATAAGGCAATGTTTGAGAACTCTATTCACAGATCAGGCTGTAACTCCAATCAAATATCCGAAAAGTAGCCCAAAAATATCGAGCATAGTTTTCTAATTATCATCTAAAGTACTGTTCCGATTCGCACCGGCGGCGCAGCTTATCTACAGGCAATCTATGTCACTCAAGTAAACCGGGAAAGAGCAAAGTTCTGGCACCTGACGGAAGAGATTTTTTTCTTAAAAGAAGCTCTGTCACCCCACCACCACCGGAAGGTGTACGGTAGCATGAGAAGAAAACCTTTGCTCTGCCCTAAGTACGATTTTCTGGTCCTTTTCGGAGAGAAGTCATACTCGGGAAATTGTAACGGCTGTTTAGCAGCGGTGGTTAGTGCTAAAGTGCGCCGGTTTTGTGGATAAAGGATTTGGTCCGTTAGATTGCCAAACGAAGGGAAGAGATGTTGGCAACAAATAGTAGTGTGCGGTCGGGTGTAAGGTAGCAAAATGGTCGACGTGGCAGGTTGGGAAGAAAACCAGATAACACATCATTCAAATTGATAACACATCATTCAAATAGTAGGTAATCCGGTAAAAAGATTCTTCACAATCACAATTCCTCGAATCTGACTCAGAATTAATCACGTCGACTGAAGCAATATAACCCGTTGATCCATTAATGGGCACAATTGTGCCAAAGACGGGTATCGCAATCCTTCCATCACCCACATCCAAATCCACGGTCTTACATCAGAAATAAAACAAACGAAAAGTCACACAACAAAGAAGATTGTCACGAAAAAATAAAATAAAACTAATGATGTAAAGCTTCTGTCCCAATCTCCTGAATAGCACCATCTCCCAGATCCTTCGCCCTGGTACTCACTGAAGTGGTTTTGGGCCTTTAGGCGAGCTTATTGGTCGAAGGCTCGAAGCCCGCCCCCTCCCCATTTTTTGTTTCATCTAGTGCCATAACATCCCTCCCGAGTTGGTCCTCATTTGTTTCAATCTCTACGCCTTTAGTTGTGCTCTGCGCTGATTCTGAGATACATTCCTTCCCACCTCCTCCCACTCTACCATGAGACTTCCTCTCCTTTGTATTCGTGTGATCCCTGCTAGAGCTGAAAGCCATTGGTTCTTTAAAAAATGTTGTTTGTACATGAGTTGTACATAAAGTGTAGACAATATAAATTTTAAAAAAATTATCATTCCAATTATCGCTCTCCCTTGGCACCAACTCCCCTCTCCTCTCTTTTCGTCGTTGTCCCCTTTCCGCTGATATATTTTCACAGCCACTATTCACCGAAGGTTCTTGCGCACACTTTCTCTTCTTCTCTTCACAGCTCGACTACAGACGATAGGGGAAAATGAAAGTGCCATAAACAATGGATTATAGTGTTGAGGAGATGACTTTCATTAGTAGTTACAACATGGGCGAGTTTACCACACATGAAGAAGAGGACTCCGAATCTGATAGAAGATTAATGTGAACGACGCAAGACGAACGTCGACGACGGAGAGGAACGACATATTTCGGGGGCCGATCGTGAAAGAGGTACGTCAAACATACTGTTTGTGTACACAGACATTGAGATGTTTCAGTGCCTGTAGAAGTAAATAACCTTGTATTTGTATAGTTTATGATTCATGCACGTTACACAGACAATTTGGCATAAAAGTATTGTACTTGAAGTGTTGTATGTTCCTTGTCTGTGTACGCAGACAAAATAAAGTAAACATCTGTATTGTTATTGCCTGAGCATAGATTTTTATATAATTAACTATTTTGTATTTGATAAGTCCGTATTTAGACACGCATTTTATGCGTGTTGAGATCGGCTTTTGATGGTTTTCCTAGCTTTAAGGTGTTGCAAGTCTCAATTTTAGCTCAAATTATGTTTATCAGGCGTTAGTTCGAGTTTTGTGTCATTTGGAGTCAAAATCATGAATTTTGAGTTCAGCACTGGCGCTTGAGAAGCAATCGGGATGATTTGAGAAGCATTCAAGGTTGATTTGAGAGCCTTGGAGGTCACCGGGAGGTTTACGATGAAAAGAAGATGAATGAAGCTTGAAAACGACGATCAGGATGGCCTTCTGTCAATCGTTCAAGCATATCTCTTTGTAGAAACCACCAATGGACACGATTCAGGTTCCATATGAAATCTAACTTCAAGGGATACAAATCATATGAAGACACCTTTGTGATAATCTGAGAGGAAGAAGGTGAAAACAGACATTGAAGTCAGATGATCTCCGCTGCGATTTCAGAAAGACACCTTCCACTGTTTTGATCATATCTCTTGATTGGATGATTCAAATCACATTCGGCAAATTGGGGTGAATAGAGGACTTCATTATATACAACTTTCATGAAGGAAGAATTTCCAAATTCGGAAGTTAAGTAGGTACGATCATGCCCTCAAAGTCAGGCACGATCGTGCGTGAAGAGAAAGCATCGTGGAGCTGCTGCCAGTCAGGCACAATCGTGCCTGGAGGGAGGCACGATCTTGCCTGCCCAAAATGCGCGTTTTTTCTCCGGAGGCATGATCGAAGGCACGATCGTGCCTGGCACCGTGCCTGCCTCCGGAAATCCCAATTCAGCTCAAATTTCACCCGATTTTTCTATTTGAACAACCTGTAAACCCCCGTTTTGAAGGGGGGCTTAGAGAGAGTGCCTAGCACGAATTTTTGAGAGCTTTTCAGCCTTGTTCATCAAACTTTTGGGATTCTTTGTAAGTTCCACCTTTTTCATTAATGACAATTAATTCTTTTTATTCCAATTCCATTGATTCTTCAATTATGAATTGTGAGTAGTTTTAATTAGGGAATTGGGATTGATAAAGGGGTTGATCATGATGTATGGCTAGATTCCTTTTGGTTTAATTGCATGAATGTCGTTTAATTTTTGTTTGAATAATTTAACTGATATCTCTTGTAACCTGGAACGGCCGCTAGAATTACAACTGCTTGTAGAATAAATTAAGAGAGATCTAATTTATTCTAGGACACATTCATACACACGTAATCGTTCACTAAGAGATTAGTAGCGATTAAGGGGCTGTAAGCTCGCTCCTCTTGGCAATAATTTAGGATCCTGTCGCATGAGAGATCAGTCGGTCCCCTAATTTAGGGTCAAAGTGGTTTCGGATTGTCCTTGCTTAGGGCTACAATTCGATATATGGTACGCTCAAAACGGATAACAGGTGAATGAGAAATTGTTTTTCGAAGTTTACCCGTTAGAAGGGAAAAGGATGGGTTTCTAGTGTGTTAATTTCCCACACTGGAAAACCCAAGGGATTTGCAACCCTTTATAAAGGAACTCTCCCCTTAAGGAGTTAAGATTCCTAAGGATAAAGGCTCTCTCCACGCGCGCAGGGGGGGTGCAAATCAAATCCCGAATTCGGAGAAGAAAAACCGCGACTTGCGTGCGCGGGCGACCTGCGGACACGAATGTCGTCCAAAAATCTATCTTCTGATGGTCGCGGACCAGAAACCCTCACATGGGTCTTCTGATTGGCCTCCGATCAGAACCCCTCCCGGGGTGTTCTGGTGGAGGTCTTCTGTCGCGCTTCTGAAACGTTACAACAATTAATGCCCAACGTTCTTATCTTTTAATGCAGCGTTAAATGGACAGTTCATGGACGATTCAATGCCCAACGGACTGGTCATTGATGTCCAACGTTCAGGTCCATTAATTCACTATTTACACACAACAAATCCTCCTATATAATGGCTGGCAGGTGGTTTGCAACAACACACGATTTTACACGAATTCATACACTCCAAGCACCTTTTGCACCTCAAAAAACACACTGCTAGCATTCTGAAAAATTCATTCTGTGTTCAGACTTGTTCTCGTTCGCTGGAACTCTTGTTTGTGTGCTCAAACATTAGTTCGTAGTCATCGTATCCTGGGAAACGATTGTTGCAACGCTCCTAGCACCGTGGGAGGCAACAAATACGTTTTAAGGACATCGTGCGTAGCACGAGCTTTGACTAATTCTGCTTCATCTCCTTTCTTGTTTTTCTCCAGTCATTTTATTTAATTAATTAATTTTAATTAATTTTCTTTATTTTCCGAAACACACCCAACAGAAGATCCTCCTATGTTTGGAGATGAAGAAGAAGATAATAGTGTCAAGTTGTTTTTCCAAGAATACAGGAAAACGTTTGAAACAGTACGAGCTGTAACTGATGAAGTCACAAATCATTGTGATTTTCATACAGAAACCCCCCATCCGTTTGATTTATCATTAGTCTCAACACCTGAGGAGGGCAAGAAGAAGATCAGTCATGACGTTGATGCAACTACTGAGGTAGGTTTGGGTATTGAAGATGAGTTGGGAGAAGATGATTACATGCTCCAAGAGAGTGGGGGCGAGGTATATGATGTCAATAATGAAGAAGTCCTGCTCCACAAGCAAGAATTCCCCTCTTGTACACATGCACTGATCCACTCTCACGTGATTTCAGATTTGGATTTCTTTGATTCACTCCTTGATGATGATATTTCTTTTTATGTGGAGAATGACAACATCATCCGGAGAGATATTGATAAGAACAATGTTAACGAGAGTTGGGATGTCTTCATCGGGAGTGATAGAGAGTCCAGAGGAGAGGTTGTGAATTTTCATGATATTTGTGAGGAAGAAGAAGACTTTTCTATGGTGCAGTTTGATTACGGTGTTGCTCCTACTCCTTACTTGGAGACATGTTTTGAGCTTCCGGTGATGCCTAGAGTAATCAAAGTTTTCACTCATGTTCCCTATCCACCTAAAGAGGATGAGAGTTTCATACTTCACTTCTGTGCTGATGAGGGTTATGAAGACCATGTGCCACCTACGCATATTCAAGAATTTAAGGATCTGCGCCACCTAATGACATTTGTTGAGGGGAAGCTGGAAACGTTGATTACTAGTGCACTTTTACTGTCTTTGCTATTTGAGAGCTTACGAGGTATCGTCGAGCAAATGACGTTAAAAATAGCGCTTCATGGGAGGCAACCTAAGCTAATTTCTGCATCTTTTGTTTGTTTGTTTGTTTGCTTGCTTTCAGAAAACCCCCGAAACAAACAAAAAAAAAATTCGGGGTGTTTTTTGGGTTTGTTTTTGTGTGTTTTGTTTTTGCAGCTTAGGGTCTTGCTTTGGGGATGATGTGGCGAGGATCACTTGACTCAGTTTAGTTCTGCACCGACCAGCGCCTTAGGGAAGTTTCTGCGACTCTTTTAATCGCCTGTTTGTAATAATTGACTTGAGCTAAGTTGAGCACGCGTGACCCTTTCCTCTTTACCCCTAGTGCATAGTGCATTTTTGGTCATCGAGGGCGATGCCATAGTTTAAGTGTGGGGGAGTGAATTGGGCATTCAGGCAGTAGTTGTTACATGTGATTATTAGAGTTAGCATGCGCAGGTGTTAGTTTTATATTAATAAAAAAAATCAT